ACTTGAGTCCTGGAGATGGGAAGTACAGTGCCTGCACTCTGAAGGAGGGGTGTTAATGTTGCAGTTTAAAAACTGTAGTGTAAAGCACCCTTCTGGCAAGACAGTGATGGAGTGAATGATGGTGAAAGTTTTTCTTTTTCGGGCCACCCTGCCTTGGTGGGAATCGGCCGGTGTGATAATAAAAAAAAAAAAAGTTGCCAACAAGTGTTCATTTTTCACTAACTTGAATATAAATATAATTTATGATTTTATTACATTATCACAACAAAACACTCATCTCTATTCACTACAATCACCATCACTGGCCACCCATTCTTTCCTCTATTCCTCTGTTAAATCAAGTGTTTACTATACACTACTGCACCATTCTTTAAACCACTTATGCACAACCTGATAATTATAGGTTTAGCCTTGCGTTGTTTTTTACTTCATAATTTCCTTATTTGAATCACATAAGCAAGTTTACTCATTGATTATTTTATTTACAGCACCAGTACTAAAATGTTCACATAGGTTGTGCACTGACTTGTGTTTATCTAACTTCTGTTGAATCTGAACTTGCTGCGTGTGTGTTAGTGTAATGTGTTTTCTTTTCATACCAATATGCTTTTTACTTGACCTTGAATACTTATGAGAAGACATTAAAAAGGTCAAAAATCACAAATGCCTTTTATATATACAATATATTGGACAACTATTGGCTTAACCAATAGCCAAAAACCAGTGACTGGGCTATACTACACCTGGATGACAAACGGGTACATTTCAAGAATGAGCAATATTGTGATTGTGTTAGATGCCTTCACACTGGTCAGTACTGAATTATAGGGAATATTCAAGTATGGAATGCTAGACTGGGGACATTTTACTGTTTTAATTTTTTTTAAACAAGTTGGCCATCTCCCACCGAAGCAGGGTGACCCAAAAAGAAAGAAAATCCCCAAAAAGAAAATACTTTCATCATTATTCAATACTTTCACCTCACTCACACATAATCACTGTTTTTGCAGAGGTGCCCAGAATACAACAGTTTAGAAGTATATATGTATAAAAATACACAATATATCCCTCCAAACTGCCAATATCCCAAACCCCTCCTTTAGAGTGCAGGTACTGTACTTCCCATTTCCAGGACTCAAGTCTCGTTATATAAAATAACCGGTTTCCCTGAATCCCTTCACTAAATATTACCCTGCTCACACTCCAACAGCTCATCAGGTCCCAAATACCATTCATCTCCATTCACTCCTATCTAACACGCTCATGCACGCTTGCTGGAAGTCCAGACCCATTGCCCACAACACCTCCTTTGCCCCCACCAACCTTTTCGAGGATGACCCCTACCCCGCCTTCCTTCCCCCACAGATTTATACACTCTCCATGTCATTCTACTTTGATCCATTCTCTAAATGACCAAACCACCTCAACAAACCTTCAGCCCTCTGACTAATACTTTTATTAACTTCACATCTTCTCCTAATTTCCACACTCCAAATTTTCTGCATAATATTTACACCACACATTGCCCTTAGACAGGACATCTCCACTGCCTCCAACCACCTCCTCACTGCAGCATTTACAACCCAAGCTTCACACCCATATAAGAGTGTTGGTACTACTATACTTTCATACATTCTCTTCTTTGCTTCCATAGATAACATATTTTGCCTCCACATATACCTCAATGCACCACTCGCCTTTTTTCCTTCATCAATTCTATGATTAACCTTATCCTTCATAAATCAGTCTGCTGACACAACTCCTAAATATCTGAAAACTTTCACTTCTTCCATACTCCTCCTCCCCAATTTGATATCCAATTTTTCTTTATCTAAATCATTTGATACCCTCATCACATTACTCTTTTCTATGTTCACTTTCAACTTTCTACCTTTACATACACTCCCAAATTCGTCCTCTAACCTTTGCAATTTTTCTTTAGGATCTCCCATAAGCACAGTATGATCAGCAAAAAGTAACTGTGTCACCTCCCATTTTGTATTTAATTCTCCATAATTTAATCCCACTCCTCTCCCGAACACCCTAGCACTTACTTCTTTTACAACCCCATCTTTAAATATATTAAACAACTATGGTGACATTACACATCCCTGTCTAAGACCTACTTTTACCGGGAAGTAGTCTCCCTCTCTTCTACACACCCTAACCTGAGCCTCACTATCCTCATAAAAACTTTTTACAGCATTTAGTAACTTACCACCTATTCCATATACTTGCAACAACTGCCACATTGCTCTCCTATCCACTCTATCATCATATGCTTTTTCTAAATCCATAAATGTAATAAAAACTTCCCTACCTTTATCTAAATACTATTTACATATATGCTTCAATGTAAACCATTGATCTACATAACCCCTACCCACTCTAAAACCTTCTTGCTCATCTGCAATTCTACATTCTGTCTTACCTCTAATTCTTTCACTAATAAACCTACCGTACACTTTTCCTGTTATACTCAGTAAACTTCTTTCTTTCTTCTTTCAACACACCGGCCGTATCCAACCAAGGCGGGGTGGCCCAAAAGGAAAAACAAAAGTTTCTCCTTTTACATATAGTAATAAGTACAGGAGAAGGGGTTACTAGCCCCTTGCTCCTGGCATTTTAGTCGCCTCTTACAACACGCATGGCTTACGGAGGAAGAATTTTGTTCCACTTCCCCATGGGTGTAAGAAGAAATAAACAAGAACAAGAACTAAAAAGACAATAGAAGAAAACCCAGAGAGGTGTGTATATATATGCTTGTACATGTATGTGTAAGTAGACGTAGCAAGACGTACCTGAAATCTTGCATGTGTATGAGACAGAAAAAAAAGACACCAGCAATCCTACCATCGTGTAAAACAATTACAGGCTTCCGTTTTACACTCACTTGGCAGAACGGTAGTACCTTCCTGGGCGGTTGCTGTACTCAGTAAACTTATTCTTCTATAATTTTTACAATCTCTTTTGTCCCCCTTCCCTTTATATAAAGGGACTATACACGCTTTCCGCCAATCCCTAGGTACCTTCCCCTCTTTCGCACATTTATTAAACAAAAATACCAACCACTCCAACACTATGTTTCCCCCTGTTTTTAACATTTCTGTCATGATCCCGTCAGTTCCAGCTGCTTTACCCCCTTTCATTCTACGTAATGCCTCATGCACCTCCCCCACACTCACATCCTGCTCTTCTTCACTCCTAAAAGATTTTATACCTCCCTGGCCAGTGCATGAAATTACCGCCTCCCTTTCTTCGTCAACATTTAAAAGTTCCTCAGAATATTCCAGCAACCTACCCAGTACCTCCATCTCCCCATCTACTAACTCCACTACTGTTTTTTAACTGACAAATCCATTTATTCCCAAGGCTTTTCTAACTTGTTTAACTCGCTCAAATTTTTTTTCTTATTCTCATTAAAATTTCTTGACAGTGCCTCTCCCACTCTATCATCTGCTCTCCTTTTGCACTCTCACCACTCCCTTCACCTTTCTTTTACTCTCCATATACTCTGCTCTTCTTATAACACTTCTGCTTTGTAAAAACCTCTCATAAGCTACCTTTTTCTCTTTTATCACACCCTTTACTTCATCATTCCACCAATCACTCCTCTTTCCTCCTGCCTCCACCCTGCTATAACTACAAACTTCTGCCCCACATTCTAATACTGCATTTTTAAAACTTTTCCAACCCTTTTCAACCCCCCCCCCACTAGTCATACTTGCACTAGCCCACCTTTCTGCTAATAGTTGCTTATATCTCACCCAAACGTCCTCCTTCTAGTTTATACACTTTCACCTCTCTCTTCCTTGTTGCCATTTTCCTCTTGTCCCGTCTACCTCTTACACTAACTATAGCTACAACTAAATAATGATCCGATATATCAGATGCGCCTCTATAAACATGTACATCCTGGAGCCTACCCAAATTACTTTCATTACGTGCTATACCATACCTTGTATATTTATTTATCCTCTTTTTCATAAAATATGTATTACTTATTACCAAACCTCTTTCTACACATAGCTCAATTAAAGGTTCCCCATTTTCATTTACCCCTGGCACCCCAGATTTACCTATTATTCCCTCCACAACATTTTTACCCACTTTAGCATTGGAATCTCCAACCACAAGTATTCTCACACTTGGTTCAAAACTCCCTACGCATTCACTCAACATTTCCCAAAATCTCTCTCTCTCTCTACACTTCTTTCTTCTCCAGGTGCATATACACTTACTATAACTCACTTTTCACATCTAACCTTTATTTTACTCCACATAATCCTTGAATTAATACATTTATAGTCCCTCTTTTCCTGCCATAGCTTATCCTTCAACATCATTGCTACTCCTTCTTTAGCTCTAACTCTATTTGAAACTCTGACCTAATCCCATTTATTTTTCTCCACTGAAACTCTCCCACCCTCTTTAGCTTTGTTTCACTTAAAGCCAGGATATCCAGCTTCTTCTCATTCATAACATCCACAATCATCTCTTTCTTATCATTCACACAACATCCACGTACAGTCAGACATCCCACTTTGACAATTTTCTTCTTCTTATTCTTTTTAGTAATCTTTACAGGAAAAAGGGTTACTAGCCCATTGTTCCCGGCATTTTAGTTGACTTTTACAACACGCATGGCTTACAGAGGAAAGATTCTTATTCCACTTCTCCGTGAATATAAAAGGAGAAGTAATAAGAACAAGAACTATTAAGATAAAATCAAAGAAAACTTAGATGAGTGTGTATAAATAAATGTGTACATGTATGTGTAGTGTGACCTAAGTGTAAGTAGAAGTAACAAGACGTATGTCACCTGTAATCTTGCATATTTATGAGACAAACAAAAGACACCAGCAATCCTACCATCATGTAAAACAATTACAGGCTTTCGTTTTACACTCACTTGGCAGGATGGTAGTACCACCCTGGGTGGTTGCTGTCTACCAACCTCCTAGTGTTATGTGAAATAATCGTAAAATGATATCTTTCAGAAATGGTGCATCCACAAGCTAGAGTGGGAACCAGATTATGCTGTCGAAAAATCCTCACCAGTTGTAACACGATGGATTGTAACCCATGGCACCATGCTTAAGTGTCTTCAGGTATATATTTTTTTTTTTAACACTAGCCGTCTTCCACCGATTTAGGGTGGCCTGAAAAAATGGCACTCTCATCACTCACTCTGTCACTGTCTTGCCAGAGGTGTGCCGACATTGCAATTCAGATGCGCCTGCAAGTTGCACTGTCTCCACCCTTCCTTCAGAGCACAGGCACTATACTTCCCACCTCCAGACTCAACCCTAGTTAATGGGTTTCCCTGAATTCCTTCATAAATGGTATCTTGCTCATGCTCCAACAGCATGTCAAGTCATAAAAACCAATTGCCACCACACCTATCTTAACACATTGGATGTCCAAGCCCCTTGCGTACAAAATCTCCTTCAGACATGTTTTCATATTAACAATTGTCATTTAATCACAAGTCAAGGCTAATATTTATTTATTCTTATTTTAAAGCTGGTTAAATCATAACCCTAATGAAATAGTGACCTTCCTAGTACTGTATTAATAAAAATGGTTAGAGGTTAAGAGCCTTGGCATATGTGACTAACAGTGCACATTCTTTGCTATTTAATATCTTGTCACTTATCTGAAATATTCTGCATACAAGAGACCTTTCAAATGCCATTGCCCAGAACAAACCTGGCTGTATAAATCTTGTAAATCCCATGTATTAAGTATAAAAACCTTTGTTCATTTACTGACTTTGACTAAGAGAACTGTAGATATGCCCTAAAGGGGGTTCCTTGATGACAGTAAGAGGCTCTTGATTTCAGGAATTCAACTTGTGCTTCCCTTCCATGGTTCGAACCTGAATGCCTCCCATTTCCCAGGCATCGTATGACACTTATGGGCTTAGTGCTGCCCCAATGTAATAATAATACAATGGAACCTTAATTTTCATGATTAATCTGTTCGAAAAAGTCTGATGAAAACTGGATTGTACAAAAACTGAAGCTATATTTCCCATAAGAAATAATGTAAATCCAATTAATCTGTTTCAGACACCCAAATATATTAACAAAAAATACATTTTATAGAGAATAACTATAGTTTTACATACACAAAACAATGAGAAATACAGTGGTACCCCGAGTTTCATACAGCTCCCAACTCGAACAATTATGTAAGTGAATTATTGTAAGTGTATTTTTGGAGGTCTGAAACCGACTAATCTAATTTACATTATTCCTTATGGGAACAAATTCGTTTGGTAATGGCACTTGAACAGCCTTCTGGAACGAATTATGTATGAAACTTGGGGTACCACTGCAAATATGAATGACTAATGAAATGAACATTTAACATCACTTTTACCTTCATTGAAGACTCTTGTTGGTGTATGGAAGATGAGGAGGAGAGAAGAGGGAGAGGTTATTGTTTGGAAGGTGAATCTCCATCCATGAGGAATTCAGGTATTGAGGCCCTATACACAAATAACCCGCACATAAAAGAGAGAAGCTTATGACGACGTTTCGGTCCGACTTGGACCATTTACAAAGTCACACTGACCAGAAGTGGAGCAGGACGGCTATATATAGGCAGGAAGAGGTGGTGGTGGTGGTGGTGGTAGTAGTAGTAGTAGTAGTAGTACAAGAATGGTATATAATACCGACAAGATGAAATTAAGACACATGTGCAACACCCGGGCATCTCTATCGTAGACGTTTCACCATCCAGCCAGCCACTGGATGGCGAAACGTCCACAACAAAGACACCCAGACGCCACACATGTGTCTTAATTTCATCAGTAGTAGTAGTAGTAGTAGTAGTAGTAGAAGAAGAGGTAGTAGTAGTGGTAGAAGTGGGGAATAAGGAGGACGAGCCAGTCAAATACAAAGAAAGGGGAGCACTGCAAGGGAGCTAGGTGCCCACAGAGGGAGAGCAAGCGCACAGAGGTGTGTGAAAGGGGAAGTGGTGAAATAAATGAAGAAGGAACAGAAACATGAGACAGAAGAGAGAAAGACAACCCAGAGGAGAAAAAGGAAAGAGGAAAGGGGAAGAGGGACAAGAAGAAAAAGTGGGAGAGGAAGGCATCTACAGAGACGAAGCCAGGGCTAAGATTCATACAAGGAAAGTTGTGTATTAGAGAGGATTCAACTAGACGGCGACTGTTCAAGTTGGAAATAGGGAAGACAGTTTTAGCAGAAGACCAGTCAATAGGATGGCTATGATCTCTGACGTGACAGAAAAGAGCATTGTTAGTGTCGGCAAGCCTAACACTATTTTTGTGCTCCCTAAGTCTGTCAGAAAGAGATCGACCAGTTTCTCCGAAGTATTGAAGAGGACAGGAGGAGCAAGAAATAGAGTAGACACCAGGAACATCTGTAGAGGGAGGAGAGGTATGAATGAGATTAGTGCGAAGAGTGTTAGTCTGGCGGAAGGTAGGCTTGATGTCTAAGGGACGGAGAGAATTATTGAGATTAGAAAGACCGGAAATGTAGGGAAGGCAGAAGATAGAAGAGTTCCCAGGAGTAGAGAGTTTGGGAGAGAAGAAATTACATTTAGCATGTGAGAGGGCAGAGTCTATGAAATGGGAAGGGTAGCCAAGACGGGAAAACGAATTATGAAGAATGGAAATTTCTGCTGGAAGGAACTGAGGATCACAGATGCGGAGGGCATGGAGAAAGAGGGAGATAAGAACACTTTTCTTGACAGGGGAAGCATGATAGGAAAAGTAGTGAATGTACCTGCCACTGTGCATAGGTTTTAGGTAAACGGAAAAAACCTGTATCTGAGCGGTGGACATGGACATCAAGGAAAGGAAGCAAGGAATTAGATTCCCATTCCCATTCCGTCCCTTAGACATCAAGCTTACCTTCCGCCAGACTAACACTCTTCGCACTAATCTCGTTCATACCTCTCCTCCCTCTACAGATGTTCCTGGTGTCTACTCTATTTCTTGCTCCTCTTGTCCTCTTCAATACTTCGGAGAAACTGGTCGATCTCTTTCTGACAGACCTGACAGACTTAGGGAGCACAAAAATAGTGTTAGGCTTGCCGACACTAACAATGCTCTTTTCTGTCACGTCAGAGATCATAGCCATCCTATTGACTGGTCTTCTGCTAAAACTGTCTTCCCTACTTCCAACTCGAACAGTCGCCGTCTAGTTGAATCCTCTCTAATACACAACTTTCCTTGTATGAATCTTAGCCCTGGCTTCGTCTCTGTAGATACCTTCCTCTCCCACTACATTGTAAAATGCTCTAAACTTCAGAACACCCGTGACTTAACCTGACTCCTCATTTTTTCTTTTTCTTTTTCTTCTTCTCCCTCTTCCCCTTTCCTCTTTCCTTTTTCTCCTCTGGGTTGTCTTTCTCTCTTCTGTCTCGTGTTTCTGTTCCTTCTTCATTTATTTCACCACTTCCCCTTTCACACACCTCTGTGTGCTTGCTCTCCCTCTGTGGGCACCTAGCTCCCTTGCAGTGCTCCCCTTCCTTTGTATTTGACTGGCTCGTCCTCCTTATTCCCCACTTCTACCACTACTACTACCTCTTCTACTACTACTACTACTACTACTACTACTACTACTACTACTACTACTGATGAAATTAAGACACATGTGCGGCTTCTGGGTGTCTTTGTTGTGGACGTTTCGCCATCCAGTGGCTGGCTGGATGGCGAAACGTCTATGATAGAGATGCCCGGGTGTTGCGCATGTGTCTTAATTTCATCTTGTCGGTATTATATACCATTCTTGTACTACTACTACTACTGCTACCACCACCACCACCTCTTCCTGCCTATATATAGCCGTCCTGCTCCACTTCTGGTCAGTGTGACTTTGTAAATGGTCCAAGTCGGACCGAAACGTCGTCGTAAGCTTCTCTCTTTTATGTGCGGGTTATTTGTGTATCGTTCCAGTCACAGTATTGTGCCTTTTTTTTGTTATTTATTGAGGCCCTATCTGGAGTTACTTCCCTTCTTTGTCTTTTACTGGTACTAGGACCAGCTTGAGTCACTGGACCCCTGTCGCACAAAAAAATCTGTCCAGAGAGGTCTGTTTCTGGCGTCTTTAAGATTTGCCTAAAATGGGACAAAGCATTGCCATTGAATATGTTGCAGACATGGCTTGCAACAGCTTTGTTAGGGTGATATTTCTCCACAAAACTTTGCAGCTCATTCCACTTTGCACACATGTCCTTAATCACTGAAAAAGGCACATTCTCCACTCTCTCTTCCTCCTCCTCTGAAGCAGTTTCCTCCGTTTCCTCAGCTGCAGTCTGCTGCTGTTCCAATTGAAGGTCTTGCAACTCTTCAGTGGTTAGCTCTTCCCTGTGGTCGTCCACCAACTCTTCCACATTCTGACCATTCACATCCAACCCTATGGACTCGCCCAAAGACACAATATATTCCATAACAGGCGTAGGGTCATCAGGGTCAGCCTCAAACCCTTCAAAATCCTTCTCAAGGACATTCTGGCCACAATTTTCTCAAGCAGAGTTCATCGTTTCAGAAGTCACTCCCTGCCAAGCCTTATCTATAAGGCTTATGCAGTTGAAGATATTGAAGCGATTCTTCCAGAGCTCTCTAAGGGTCAGTTCAGTGTCTGAGGTCACTTCAAAACACCTTTGCAACAGTGCTTTGGTGTAGAGTTTTTTGAAGTTTGAAATGACCTGCTGGTCCATGGGCTGGATGAGAGGAGTGATATTACGGGGCAAGAACTTCACTGTGATGAAACTAAACTCCTCCAACAATTGGTCGTCTAAGCCTGGAGGATGAGCAGGAGCATTGTCCTTTACCAGGAGGCAGTTAAGTGGCAATTAATTTTCCAGGAGGTATTTCTTCACACATGGGCCAAACACTTCATTGACCCACTCAATGAAAATTTGCCTTGTGATCCATGCCTTATTGTTAGCCTTCCACATAACACACAATTTACTCTTGATGACATTGTTTTTCTTGAACATTCAGGGATTTTCAGAGTGATACACTCTCTTGTTCTGTTACCACAGAACAAGAGAGTTAGCCTATCTGTTTCGTTAGCACATTTACCCCTTTCGCAACATCAGCTTCCTTGATTTCTGTTTTCTTCACCAGGATGGAACTGATCGTTGATGAGGACTTCTCGTATGTCCTGGCAAGATCAGCCACGCGTACGCCACTTTTGTACTTTGCCTTCTCGCCTTCTTTATCAAAGGGCTGGCACTTGGAACTTTCTTTGGCCCCATGATGGCTTATTTAGCAGTCGCACTCAATAAACAAGCACAAAAAACGATGGATTATTACAAAATGTTTCGGATGAACATGCGAGGTGATGCTCACTCAACGAGAAACAAAGGCAGACTGAGTCATGAATGCATGGAATTCTTTGTGTGGGCGCTCGATTATGGGAAATGGGTGGCTGAGTCATGCGGGCAGGCGGACGAGTTTGGTATGGACCATTTTCAACTGTATGAAAACTGAGCAGATGTATGAAAACCGGGACAAAATTTTTATGAAAAAAGTTGTCGAGAAGTGAATCGTACAAAAACTAGGGCATACGAAAACCGAGGTTTGACTGTAATAATAATAATAAAGCCAGGTGAGCAGTAGACCTCACCCTGTAGCTGCCACTTGATATGCTTTATTTACCGAGTCACCTTGGGTATTTTAGAGAGGTTCATTCCCATTTAAAAAGAAGCTTAGAATAACAATACATTGTCTCGCATTCAACAATTATTATTATAATCAAAGGGAAGCACTAAACCCGTAGGATTATACAGCGCCTGGGAGAGGGATATGGAAGGTATTCAGGCTTAATTCACGGAACTAAAGCACAGATCCAGCTCCCTAGATTAAGAGCCCGTCACCAGCATCAAGGAACCTTCCTTGAGGGGCCATATTCAACAAGGAATTGTTAAATAGGACTGTTTACCAAGAGTTGCCTGTAGAAACAAATAGTGTAATCTTTCTGATTGTAGCTATAGGAACAGCTGTGTTTGTGGTATCTGATTGTGATGTTAGCCCACTTGTGGAAAGACAGTAATTGATTGAATAATAATGAATGTGTTTTCTTTAGCTCACCTTGCTTTGGCAGGAGATCACTGTTAAGTTAAAAAATATACATATGTATGTTTTTTACGATTTCATATGGTTTTAGTGCATACGACTGCCTCTTGTGATACATTTCATTAGTCTACCACTCTATCTGCAAAGAAAAAAATTATAGTATCCTCTTAGACCCACTTTTTCTCAATTTAAAACTGACTTCTAGTTATCCTTGTTGCAGGTTTGAAAAAATCTGTGATAGTAGGTGACCTTTCAATCATGCTACTTCATTAACAGTGCTCATCATTAAAGTGCACTGGATGGTTGGCACCCATCATAATTCAGTGTCCAAAGTAACATCCCACCCTATTAAGTTTGTTGATGAGATGAGAAATTATGCTGGCCTTGCAACTCTACGTGGGACCCCTCATGATTCCATGAGGTTACTGGTTACATCTCGAGTGCCTCCTAGGCTTGGTGGATGGTTTTGTGTCCATGGTGCTTCTGTGAGGGGCACAATGGACACAAAACCTTAAAGGGTTGAGTTGTTAGACATTTTTGGCTATTGGTGAATTAACATGGGTAGAAATAAGTCACTCATGCAAGATACAGTTGCAAAGATCATCGGATTATATGAGGTAGGCCGTCAAATTAAGGAAATACAGAAGCCATCAATGTGTGCAAGTGTCCAGCGAGGACCTGGTTGTGTCAGGCTCTTGAGGACAGTGTTCATGACTTGCACACACCAAAAGCACATCAAGGAAAACCTTGAGTAATGTCGCTGCTTATGTTAACTGTAATAACTTGCCTAGTATCCCTGTTTTCATCTTTGCCAGATTTGAATGCCATTGAGAACCTCTGGGCTGTGATAGAGATCTGCTTGGGTAAGTACATCAGCTCACTCCCATGGCTTTAGGATGTCTTTCATAAATTGTGGAGAAATTTACCCCATTTAACCTTTAAGATGTTAACCTCCTAGACAGTTGAAGATTGTCCTAAAGAGCAAGGGATGACCTAATTTGTGGTCGAGGTTTCAGAGGGGGTGGCCAGCATACTTTAAATGATGAGCATTGGATATGCTGATGCATAAAAAAAGCCTGTCATTATGTTAAGAGATACTGTTGATCATTTATTTAGTGTTCCAGCCTCTTAGAGACCAATTTGTTTATGGTTGAAATCTCCAGTGACTGACTTTATAATTATCTTTGTCACTTATCATCAATAGTTCCTTTTTTATACAGTGGAACCTCGGTACTCTAACAATTTGGTATTCGAACGCTTTGTTCGGTAAACAAATCATTCGGTAGTCGACTGTTTGCTAAGCACTTTGACCAAACAAACACGACCTGCCAGAACTTTGCTGTAAACTATTTCGTGTTTCCTCGCATTTTTTTTTTTTATTTGTTTAATTACATTAGTCAACATGGGGCCTAAGAGGATAAGTGATAACAGGCAACCGAAAAGAAAATTGGTTGGGAAAAATTTGTTCAGTACTTGGACAATTCAGCACTCGAACAACCTTCTGGAATGAATTAAGTTCGAGTGCCGAGGTTCCACTATATTATGTAATCTCTCGTGTTAAATCCCTCCCCCCTCTCCCCTGAAAAAAAAAAAGTTATTAAATGGTGGACTGTGTGCATTGCCTGCCAAACTTTCTTATCTTCATTTTGGCTTTCTACATTATCGGTAGTATTTGTTTTGGATTTTAATTCCTAATGCTTGTAGAGTAATTTCTGTTTACCATTGTTGCCACTTCCCATCCTTTCTTACCCACTATCTCTTCACACTGAGTAGTTTCCATCAAATATAACATTTCAGATATGTTTCAATTTATTTAGACTATCTTGTTCTTTACAAGTTTCTCTCAGTTTACCTTTTTTTCATTGATAGTGTATACAGTTGCTAGATACTTAATGAACTTCCAAACAGTTGAGTTTGCCTCTTGTGAAGAAAGGCATTGCAGTACTTGTAGACAGTGTGTTTTGGACTTATGTACTGTATTTGTAATTAATTCATGTATGTATGATGATTGTGACTGAACAAATAAAAAATAAGAATAAATACATAAGCCTCAAAATATAAGAAAATTTATATTTTGCCCACAAAAATGTGACTTCACAATCTGAAAAATCATGAAAATACAATGATTTGCTAAACAGGAATTTAATTTTTTTTTTTTGTTACACTGAACAGCCAGTTGGTATTGTGAAGCAGTGTGTCCGAGGTGGTGTGGCGGCGTGTAAACTACAATGGAAAGTTGCAACCTGTGGCCTTCCTAAAGACACTGCAGGATGTCTTACTATTGTTGAACCTTTATATCTTGTTGAAAAGTCATTACCTCACCTCCTGCATGAATTTAAGGAAAAAAACATTGCTACAAACAAAGGTAATATTTTAATTATATATATACTGTATTATGACAGTTTGTGTTAATAAATGCATCATGACATTTAGTAAAGGAACGTTTTGCAAAGAGTTTCTTCAGTCGTAATACTGAGTGTGTAGAACAAGCAGTATGTTATAGCACAAGACGACAAAGTGGTTGTGGGTCATAAGTTTACCTGTCTTTCATATTATATGTACTGCATGTTTATGTACTGTATGTTTATGTACTGTATGTTTATGTACTGTATGTTTATGTACTGCATGTTTATGTACTGTATGTTTATGTACTGCATGTTTATGTACTGTATGTTTATGTACTGCATGTTTATGTACTGTAGTTTATGTACTGTATGTTATGTACTGCATGTTTATGTACTGTATGTTTATGTACTGCATGTTTATGTACTGTATGTTTATGTACTGTATGTTTATGTACTGTATGTTTATGTACTGTATTTTATGTACTGTATGTTTATGTACTGTATGTTAATGTACTGTAATGTTTATGTACTGCATGTTTATGTACTGTATGTTTATGTACTGTATGTTTATGTACTGTATGTTTATGTACTGTATGTTTATGTACTGTATGTTTATGTACTGTATGTTTATGTACTGTATGTTTATGTACTGTATTTATGTACTGTATGTTTATGTACTGTAAAGTTTAGTACTGCATGTTTATGTACTGTATGTTTATGTACTGTATGTTTATGTACTGTATGTTTATGTACTGTATGTTTATGTACTGTATGTTTATGTACTGTATGTTTTAGCTAGTGTGTATTAGGACTGAAGCAGCTGCTCACAATGAAATGTTTCCTTATTAAATGTCTTGAGCACTGCACATGCATCTTTTACTTACAACTCATCACTGTCATGCTACCAGTGCCTGAAAAGTTTTGATTATGCATGTTGTGTGTTGCTTACCTTACCTTAATCTTGAAAAGTTTATTTCTTAACATTGTGTTGTTTAAATATTTTACTGTACTTGTAAGCCTAATTTAAAAAAAAAAAACTGCTTTATTATGTAATATCAAGGCATTTTTTATTTTTTTCAAAGGTAAAAATAAAAAGAAGCCCAAAGATGCCAAGATGCCTGTAAAGAATTATGATAAAGGATTAGTTAAAGATAACTCCAACAAATTGACCCAAGAGGATTCCATTCTGTTGATCCAAGACAACTTAAAGAAACTGAGTAAAAATGGCATAAAACATGCTAAAAATGAAAACCCGAAAATTGTCAATAATATTAGCTCCATGCCTTACACGAACAGCCAAGGTAATGAGTTTACCAAGAAATCTGTCAAAAACCAGTCAAGTCACATAAAAGAACAAACAAATACCTCAGGAAAATTAACTTGGTCAGGTGGTCATTTTGTTGAGGAAATGTTGAACCAAACTCTGACAGATGAAGAGGAGAATGAAGATTTGTCATTCATCATTGACAAAATCATTAACATCAAAGTTAATAGCAATCCAACTGAATGCCGAATTAGTCAACAAACAGGTATTCAAGGTGAGAGCAAGAATCAGAAAATTGGTATGAGAAATTCTACTCAAAACCAGGGAGAAATGCAGATTGAAGAACATTTAAAAAGTTATAATCTATGTAAAGAAAATATGTACTTAAAGGATATGAATAACGAGAAATTGTTTGATTCTGAAAAAAAAGACCAATTGCAAGAAACATCCTGCAGGGGTGATGAATATGAAGATAAAGAGAATAATCCTGAAAATTTCTTTGATAGAATATATAGAAAACTTTATAAAAGAAACAAGGAAAATAATTTAACAAACCCTGTTCAGAACAGGTTATCTTGCAAGCTAAACAAGGCTTTATGTACCAATCCTAATGATGATTCTTTATTAGATAAATCATACATATGCAAGGATGAAGAGATGGGCATAAGAAATCCTAACATATACACAAAGAAAGGTGACAGTGATGAACTTTCTGATGCTAGAAAGTCTCACTGTGAACTTAAACAGCCTTCACAAGTTTTGGTGCAAAAGGCAATTTTGCATGAAAATCATACAGCCAATGAATTTCTTGCAGACTTGTACCATGATTTTTGCAGCCCCAAATCCGAGGTCAATTCAAGTTTCTGTCAGGTGTCCAAAGACATGTTTGATGACACTGATGATCTTGGGGTTGTTGCCTCTCATACCTCATTACCCAACCTACAGTCCACTCCATATTTAATAGGTAATGGAGCCTCAGATATGCCACTTCACCTAATTGAACAAAGTCCAAATGCATGTGTAATTAAAATGGATAGCAGGCTGTCTTGTTTATCTTATACTTCTCCATTGCAACATAATTTGGAAGATAGCTGTAAAAAATTACTACATGATAAATGTCTACTGTCATCTACTCTTTTATCTTCCAATATTAGCGACATATTAAATTATTCAGATTCAAGATTAAACAGGCAGAGTTCTGCAAATACTTGCAGTCGGCACATAAAATATAAGAATGATGCTGTTTCTTCAGGCAACTGTAACCCGCCTGTCTGTTGTAATACTCCAAGAATCAACAAGAGGCCAAATTTGTCAAAACTTTGCTTCCAGCTGTTTGATAGCTTTAGTGATTGTGAAGACAGTATATCAAAGGACTCGAGACCAGCTCAGGTCAACATTTCATACGAAGAAAAATTACAACAGCTTTCAATGATAAAAATTTCTCATACGCATGAGAAAGAAAACAATTTATACAGCAAATACAGTAATAAAGAGTCATTTGCTCTTCATACCCAGAGTAAAGAAAATGAACAAAACTGCAATAGTAACGAGCTGGAAATTAATGAATGTAAATCAGTGAATTTAGCAGTTGGCAAACAAGACAGGGGTGGTAAAGCAAGCATCTGTCCTGGAACTGATGATGAAACTATGCCTTGTGATCCCTTTTCTCCATTTGGAGTCAACTTAACATTAGCTGAAAGACTCAGAATGAAGTTTCCCTATAAAACCTTTGTAAAACTCCTTGATGATATCTGATATGAAAATGTTAATGCATGACTATTTACATTCAATTTTTTAATGATTTAGCCTCTAATGACAAGCTTATATTTACGAGCAATGCGTGTTACAAAGTACGTACAGTACACTAGAAGCATGGAAGAATCTGTTGACTTCAGCACATAATAAAAGTAAGTTTTAATGTTAAATTTGTTTTGTATACCCTTTTTTTGATATACATCTGCTCTCTGCACCCTATAAAAAAAAGGGGGGGGGGCATGATGCTTAGGAAGGTATCTTGAGTTAAGGAATTGTTCTTTTACTTAGATAAAGCCTGATTACCTCCCATTTTTCAGGTGCTGACCCTCCAATGTTGGAAGAATAGATGCTGCCAGTTTTATGAGTACTCAGGATTTTTTTTCTCTATAATTTAGAATAAAATATGAAGGTCAATTTAGTTGTCAAAAGATTATCAGATCATCATCATCTTTCAACAAACTGGCAGTACCCCACCAAAGCAGGGTGGCTCAAAAAGAAAAACTAAAATTTCTCTTTTTAAATTTAGTAATTTATTCAGGAGTTACTAGACACCTTGCTCCGGCATTTTAGCCACTTCTTACGACACGCATGACGTACGGAGGAAGAATTCTGTTCCACTTCCCATATCAGATATCTTCAATAAAAATACAAATACTGTACTTAGTACTCTTAGAACTGGCAGCAAAACTGACATACCTAGTCTTACCCACTAGTAAACTCTTCCAACAAATAAATGTTGAGCCAGACTGACATTAAAGTAGCTGTCACAACCTCCGTGATTCATAACACTGTAAGGCACAAATTAAGCAGTTGCATACCAAGAGCAGTTGCTGTTCATGAAATCCCTCTTTAAGGGGGGCTCCTTGTAGCGGTAAAGAGGCTATCGGTCTGAGGAATTGGACCTTTTGGTCTTCTTCCTCCAACTGAACCTAATTATCCCCTAATCCTCCCTTCCCTACCCCATCCTCCCCATACCCCCCTTTTTTTTCCCTTTCCTCCCCTCCTCACCCTCCCCTTGTTTCCCATCCCATTTGTAGCCTCTGGGGTCCTCCCCTCTGGCATTAGTTTCTAGGTAGAAGGTTCGTCCCACTCCGTGAGGTCCTTGGGGGTGGCGTAGTTTGCCGTGGAATCTGAATTGTCTGGGATGCCCTGCTCCCTTCCCAGGTCATGGGTGTGGTGCCCTTTAGATGATGGGTGTACCTCCGGAAGCTGCCTGCTGGTTCTGGGGGGGGGGTGGCAGCCGAGGTAGCTCGGTGGATGTGAGGCTGCTATCCCAGAGCACTGGTTTACTGGCATGAAGGGTAGGATATGGCATGGGTTCCACGCTGCATCTTCACTGCCAGTGGGCTCAAGGCCCTCTCAGATGAGGGAAGGAGCTTTCGGCCCCTCCATATTTCCTAGTGACTGTCCCTCTTTTTTTTCCTTTCCTTCTTTCTTTTTTTCTTAAAATAACAAGAAAGAAAATATTACAGAAGATGCTCCTATTATTGTGGAATCTTCACACTGTGAAACCCTTCCTCCTCCTAGGCCCCATTCTGATCCCACACTGTTCTGACCTGGCTTCGTTATCAGACCATTCTCTCGACTCTTCTCATACCCCTGTGCCTTCTGCTGGTGACGCCTCGTCACCTGCTTCAGGTGCTGCGGCGGTACCCATTTCTGTTCGTGCTGCTGCTTCACACATGCCTTCCACAATGTGTCCGGCTTCCCCCGAATATGGTGCGCTGGTTCTTGGATCGCCCACCTCCCCCGGGTCAGACTGCCCACGGTTCTACTCCTAGGCATCCAAGACAACCTACTGACGACTGTTCATTGATGACCACTCAAAAATGACCTACACGACACTCACTGCCTTTGCTTACCGGACTAAGGAGTACACATTGGACAAAATTCTTTTCTTTACAGCACGTTGGCCAAAATATATCCTTCCACGCTCTTCGAAGCGGTGCGCATGTCGTAACGGTGCATAATTCAGAGCAAGCTCATGCTCTCTTCTGCATCACTTCCATAGACAACATACCAGTCACTGTTCGTAAGCATGCTACTCTTAATTCTTGCAGCGGTACTGTGATCTTACCACATACCATTGTACAGTGATTTTTTTTTGTCTTATGGCGAGGATATTTTAGAACAGTTAGCCCTTCAGAACTTCCCTATTCTCAAGGTAGATACGTACATCCTGCCTGCTCATGGGCAGAGGTGTTTTCCTAGTAACATCGCTCATTTAACCTTCGACTGCCGTGAGCTTCCGTCCTCTGTCTATATTGTGGGACATTGCCTAGAGGTCTGTCAAGTAGTTCCCACTCCCCAACAGTGTCGTAATTGCTAGCGTTTTGGACACCCCGCTTAACACTGCAGATCTGCAGCAGAATGCCCGGTCTGCGGTGCAGCAGATCATTCCAATACGGCTTGTAGTCTTCCCCCCTCTTGTCTCAATTGCAGGGAACCTCATCCTTCCTTTTCACGCTGTTGCCAGGTTTATCGTAAGGAACGAGAGATCTGTTATCTTAAGGAGCGTGAGGGCCTCGCACTATGGCTGTCTCGGCTCCGCCTTCAAGGTAAACTCCCTCGTGTCCCGTATGCTCGGGTAGCCCGAAGACCTCCAACCTCGACAGTCCTCCTGCCTCCCAATCCCTCTGCATCTGTGTCTTTCGGGGTTGCCCCAGTTTCTAATTCTTTTGCAGTTTTATCCTCTGACACACCTACCTCCACACCACTTCCTACTTCTACTTCATCTCACTCGCTTGCTTCTCAGTCTACGAGACCTCGTAGACCTACACTTTCTTCACTTCCATCACTTGCACAGAATACATCTACCTCAGAGCCTCGTTCTCACCCCCTTTCTAGCTCTCACACAAAGATTAGAGGTTCACCTCCCCCTCATGTAGTCCCCTCTTCCCCTGTTCCCCCCCCAATCTTCCTCCATAGTTATCTTTCAACCTCCTTCCTCTCCTGTTACACTGCAGGCCTCTCTACCACAACCGGCGCATCTCTCCAGGTTCATACTTCCTGCCTCCCTCAGACCTCTTTAGTTGCTTCCATAATTATTCCAACCTTTCCTTGCAATGCCCCTCCTGTCTCTAACATCATGGCATCATTGGCTTCCTTAACAACAGAGACATTAGTTGTTATCTCCAGCTATATTGCGGAGATGACACCCCCTTTCTATTTCACGACTCTTGCAATACACTATTCCTCCGCAACATTCACATTCTTCCTTGCTTACACGCTTACCGTTACCCCCCCCACACATTGACATTACAGATCCTAAAGCCCATAGGTTTTTCGTTTCTTATTGTTGCCAATTTTATTTCTGTACATAATGTCTCTTTTACAGTGGAATATTCGTGGCATTAAAGGCAATTGAGGAGAACTCCAAGTGTTGCTCTCCCAGTTGTCCCCAGTATGTATTGGGTTGCAAGAGCCCAAAATTCAATGCTGTCATTCGCCCCGTTTCAGGCTACATGTTATTACATTCTTCAGATCCTTTACCTGACGAATCATTTAATGAAAGCGCGCTTATTGTGCGCATTGATATACCATATCAACAAGTTTTTGTTCGTTCCCCACTGCATTATACTGCAGCTCAGATTTATTTACACAGATGGCTTACAGTTTGCTCACTTTATCTTTCCCACTCCCATGCATTCTGTATCTCTGATATCGTGTTTTTAATTTCTTTTCTACCGCCGCCCATCTTGTTGGGTGATTTTAACGCTCGCTATCACCTGTGGGAGGGTCCCACTGCAACTCTCGTGGTGATCAGTTGGAGACTCTTCTCGCTTTTCATCCTCTTCATGTTTTAAATACAGGTGCTCCTACCCATTTTGACTCTTGCACTCAGCTTCTCTCCTCCATTGATCTTTCTATCTGTTCCTCGCCCATTGCAACTTGATTTCACGTGGTCTGTTCTTCCAGATTTACATGATAGTGATCACTTTCTTATCCTTCTTACTTCTACTACATATACCCAACCGTTTCGTAACCCTCGTTGGCAATTTGCTCGAGCAGATTGGGACTCATACTCCCATCTTACCACCTGTTGCGAGGACCCCCTTTCGTCGTCTATTGATGAACTGGCACACCAATTTTCGACCTTAGTCCTAACTGAAGCGACTCGTTCTATCTCCCAAACCTCAGGTAGGCATTCTTAGACATGCCTACCTTGGTGGTCTCCTACATGTGCCCTCGCGGTGCGTTTAAAATGTGCTGCGTGGGGCCCGTTATCGATATACCCGTACCACGGAGTGTATGTTGGAATTTAAGTGGGCAAGGGCAGTTGCTCGCCGCATCATATGCAACACTAAACATGCTTGTTGGCAAGACTACGTGTCTGCTATTACCTCATCTTCCCCTATGTGCGCGATTTGGAAAAAGGTGCGGAAATTGTTTGGTAAGTACACTCTTGGCCCAGCTCCCGTTTCGCGGGTTGCTGGAGTTGATGCCGCAGAAATCAGGAACTATCTTGTCCATATCTCCCAAGGGCTTCACCTTTGTCCCTCATTTCTTGTGGTCTAGGCCTACCAAAGAGCAATTGCCCTCAGATTTCTCCTCCGATGGATTGGAGCTGTATAACATACCTTTTACTCTTCTAGAATTAGAGTCTACGCTTTCCATGTGCTGGCCATCGGCACCGGGACCTGATGATATCCACATCAGTGTGCTACACCATCTCCATTCTACGGCCCTTCCCGTTCTTTTGTCTTTTCAATCTAATTTGGGAGCGAGGGTTTCTCCCACAACACTGGAAATCAGCTATTGTACTACCGTTTCACAAACCAGGTGCCTCAGGGCTTGACATCTCTCACCGTCGTCCCATTGCCCTGACCAGTGTGGTCTGCAAGGTGGTGGAACGATTGGTGAATAGACGACTGATGTGGTTCTTAGAGACACGACAGCCTTTCCCCTCGTCAATATGGCTTTCACAAAGGCTGCTCTACTTTAGACCCCCCCCCTTGCTCCACTTCAATATGTATATTCAAAATGCCTTTGCTAACAACCCCTGTCCTAGCAGTCTTTTTCAATCTAGAGAAGGCATATAACACCACTTGGAGGTATAACATTTTAGCCCAAGCCCACTCCTTAAGCCTCCATGGTAATCTACCAAGCTTCATCGCTGCTTTCTTGTGTGATAGACATTTTCGGGTCCGTATTGGCGCCTC